CCAAAATAAAACCGTCTTGTCATGCAATTACGTGCAATACTGTCAATGTCTGCACCCAAGTGCAAAGCTACTAGAGTAGTATAGCATCCTATTTCAATGCAAAGCAGCATCTCAAAGGAACGTCTTGCATGTTACTAAGATTTCCAAGCCTTGTGATAACAATCTTGCCCTAAGCCCATTTGGATGAGTGGCAGGAGGGACACCTGTAGTCCGTCACTGGGGTGTAGTATCGGGTTTCCAATTTGAACACAAAGGTTGGTATTTTCACAGTATCTGAAGCTGCAGCTCTCGAGAAAGTTACAAGTCCCTGTGAGGAAAAAGTCCTCTCTGCTCACTCAGAAAGACACAGTAACAGACAGCAAGTATAAGGCCTGACATCTTCAACGCATTACAGCTGTTTGTAGTAGGACTGTGCCCAATGTGAAGTTTAAAATCCTGTGACCGTGAAAAAAGTTAGAAAACTGGAGAAAGGGTGTTGAAGTTTGGATGTGGGAACTGCAGACCAAAACAGTCAGAAGGTGACTGAGCTAGGAAGCAACAGGGGGGAAAAAATACGCCTCAAGAAAAACTTGCACATTTGAAGTAAGGGACTAAAGCCTGTGTCTGAGGCTGGCTGGAGGCCTGGGTATAACCTATAGCACTGTTAAAGCCAAGAGCTGTTGAACTCAGCTTTTGCCTTTATGCCAGCTGACTGCTAAGATAAAGTGCCTGGCTGTGAATGCAGCAGCTCAGAAGCAGCCTGTTTATCCCATTACCATTTAAACAGATACCCAGCACTTACATCCTCTTTGCGCCTCAGTCTCCCAGCAGTTTAGTTGTCCTAGGTCCCTGTGTCTGTATCTCAGGTTGTGCCAGTCTGCACTAAGGCAGGTTAATACCTATATAGTCACAACAGGGAAAAAAGAGAGGTAGCCAAAACAAAATGGTGCTTTGTCCTAGAAATTCTACCAGTCATTTCAGCAACATCTTGATAAAATTAATGGAAAATAACAGCAAGCTGGAGGAGTACACACCATGCTATTCTTCCAACAAACAGAAGTGCTGCTACCCTGAACTTAGTCATAAGATATTCACGTCTGTAAATACAGGCTGCCAGTTGAGCATACCTTTCCCTTCCTTTACAATTGACTTTGTGTTGAGGTCAGCCTTTACTGAAAGTAAAATATTAGTGCTATTCAGCTCAGAGAAATGTAAATACTTATTTTCTCTCTGCTCTCCTCAGGAAGCACGGCCCTGGAATAATTCTGGATAAAGGAGGAGTCCCAGCAGCTACCACAAGAGATTGAACATTTATTTCATCATAAAAGTCCAGCAGATAAAACTATATACAGTAATCCATGCACACTGCCCAATTACACAAACATTTAAAACCTGATTAAAACACAGTCTACACAACAGTGGGACAGCAGGGCAAAGTTTTAGTTTAGTGGGGGACATAGTCATGTTTGTATTTTGGATGCTTGTTGTAGCCTACTCTCTCCCCAGCAATAAGGCTCTGGATCACCCACTCTTGTGAGACAACAGGCAGCCGTAAAGCTTCTGCACACTTCAAGACACCAGCTGGGCAGGAAAAATCAGTCACCACCACGTCATAAACACCCAAAGCAATATCTGCACAGGAGGAAAGACAGGCATCTGTCAGGTGAAAAAAAAAACCAAAAAGGGTCTTCTCTGCAGCAGATCAGTGTGTTTCACCACTGTGAATCTCTTCCCTGTTCTCTCGTTCCTAACCAGTGAATTCTCTGTAAAAGTTAAGACATGCTCTACAGCAACACTGCACCTTGCATGTAAAAGATTTCCTCTAGTCCAGCTAGAAATTAACAGAAAACCAGCAGCCAGCATTACAGGCAGGACTAGATAACCCCACGACCTGACCTCAGGCTGTGAGTACTAGGGCCTACATGCCATATGGAGAGGGAGAGACAGTTCATTTCAGGAGGAAAAGGAAGCACAATTTTAGTGGCCTACAGAAGGTTCAGGAGCAACTCTTGCCTATTTCCCTGCTTTCAACATAGGCTACGAGCTGATGGCTTGTGTCCTGAACTGCTGCAGCATCTCCTTCTCTGGAAGGTAGGTCTTCTAGAAAATTACATTCAGGCAGAACGCCAGTGTCTGCACTTTGCCTTCCTTTATGCTTATAGATAACCTTGTAAGGCATCCTAAATGGTTTTAAACCACACTAGAGACCACAGTGGCATGGGATTCCCAAACTGGCCAATGAGTACCTTTGTTGTGAGCATTTGAGTAATGCTGTTTAACAGATGCTGCTCCCCCTGTCATGAGGATTTCAGACCACAGATCCAGGAAGTTCTGCTGCTGGTCTGACACCAGCAGAACCTTCAGGTTATGGAATGGGTTTTCTCGTGGGTGCCTGTAGAATAAAGAAAAGAAATGCAGACTGCTAAGAATATCCAGTAGTCTCAGACTTTAGTTGAGGACTATTATCTACTTCTAGCACCCTAAATCCAAAGTTAGGCTAAACTCCCCCTTAATCCTGAACCACCTTTTCTGTGTATATCCAAAACACCTCCACTTTTGACAGGGCTGAGCAAGCAGGCATCAGTCTCTTGCTCGAAAACCCACAGAGATTTACAAACTGCTTTTGTCCACTCCTCACCTTATCTGATGAGTCTGACCTGACAATTGTTCTCTCAGAACAGACCTACTGGATTAGATTCCATAGAAAATGCAGAAGCTGGCTTCAAAACATACCAAAGGAAAAGGAAATTGCAGTAGTATTGCTCTTCTTTATCCATTTCTGAGCAATTAGAGAAGTCAGCCAAGTGTGTGGGAAGCCTTGCCTGAATTCTGTCTTCCTCATGAGGAGACAGACAACTTTCTTACTTCCCAGGACACTGTCTTTTTTGTGTATATGCCACCCAAATGTACTTTGGCATTAAAGGTCTCTGTAAAGCCAAGTAAAGAGTGTTGTTCCTATATGGAAGGGAAGGCATGGGGAGCAGCACTAGGAACACCTTTAGTACTTGTAGTATTCAAGAGCCTCTCAAGCATAGCAATTCTCTCTGATTAAATCCTCAGTCTGTAGACTCAGATCATGGTTACTTGGCACTTACCATTCTAGCAATTTTTGCTCCTGGAGGCTATAACCAGCAGGCAAAAGGTAATTCCGATAATTTTGAAGCTGGTTAGCATGACAGCTGTCATGGACCCAGATATGAGACACACAAGGGATCCCTCTGGCAAGGCACAGCAAGTATTTCCGAGTTCGACAATGCTGGTCCGCAATTAAAAGACACTGATATGCTGCATTACACTTCAGGTGAGATAAAAAGACGTGTAAACAGGAGACAATGCTTGCAAAAAAAACAAAACAAAACAAAAGACCACCAACCCAGAAGTTGTCTAAACACTGCTAAACACTTTGAAGAAGAAAACAATTGAAACCCTGATTTTCACAGCCATGTTACGTGAAAGGTAACTCATTTCTAACAGATTCTGAAATCACAAGTACTTATAATAATCACCAATTCCAAGCTATGCAGTTCACAGGCAGAAACTCTGCCTAGTAGTTTTAGTTTTTATCTGCCTAGAGATATAATAACTATCTCTTCCAGTTCAGACAAAAGAGAAGATTAATCTTATAGTTTGAGACTCAGTAAGTCACTAGAGAAAACTGCATCCTCAGGCTAGATGCTCCAAGAACAATTTACCCTCTCTATTAAAAATCTAAATTTAAGTAAATTAACACTAAATTAAATCAGTTGTCCAAATAGATCAGGTAAGTGAAGAGTGAAAAGCTCTACCTCTATGTTCTGCAGCACAGACATGTGGTGAGACCACATCTGCAGTTCTGCATCCACTCCTAGGTTCCGCAGTACAACAAAAACACAAGACACACCGAGGCAGGCCCAGCCAAGGGCCACTAAGATATCTAGGCATTGGAGCATCTGACATGCAAGGAGAGGCTGAGATAGCTGAGCTTGTTTAAGCTCAAGAAGGGAAGGTTTGGGTGGTGTTATCAATGCATATTCATGACTGATAGGAGAGTGTAAAAAAGATGGAGCCAGACTCCATCTGCCTCAACTCGGTGCTAGCACCACTAAAAGGACAAGAAGCAACAAGTACAAACTGAAATACACGAAATTTCCGTTGGTGCTTTGTTTGGTTGGGTTTTTTTGAATTGTGGATGTCAAACACAAGATCAAGTTGCCCAGAGAGGTTGTGGAGTTTCCACCCTTGAGGATACTCAAAA